CTTTCGGCAAAATTAACTTCAGAAGGACACAGACTGCTATTGTTGCTTAACCTTCCTTGCACTTGAGGACTGTTAAAGAACCCCAATGGCAAATATTGTATGTCTACTTATAATTAATATAGTAGCTACATAAAATAAAGTATTCAAATTCAGAGCCTAAACTAACCTGGCACCGTAAACACTTAACAGCCACTTCCTCTGACATTAAGTCTTAGAAATGGTTTGATTTTGAAAGATGCCAGAGTAATTATCATCCTTTACCAATAATTGTGCATTTCGTCGAAAGCATTTATGGGCTTTGTAGAGTTAAACAGCCATCCTGCCACAATCACAGCACTAAACCCATTTTGACTGTGAGGGAAATGCGCTCACTTTCTGTAGTTGACCCAGGGCTTGGCGGTCACGAAGGGTCTGAGCAGCGTTTGCACCCGGCTCTCCCAGCACCAGAACGTGGGGTAGTACGTCTCTGAGACCACGGGGCATTTGCCCCTCAGGAACTGATGAAACTTCTTTCCTCCAGCTATCAGTATGGGTTTCTGCAAAACAAAGAGCAAAGGGATTGGTGATTATCTCAGAAAGCAAACCTGAAACAGTTAACAATATTTGTAGAATAGAAATGTATTTATTTATTTTCATAATACTGATACTTACGAATTTAAACTACATTTTAGTAAATGTATGATAACAACCATTGTCATAATCATAATATAAAATGCATATTTATTAATTATATTACAATTGTATATGATAAAATAAATGTATTATTATTATTATAATAAATATAGTATTATAATAACAATCATAATATATAACAACTATGGTTAATGCATAATAAAAAATAATATTAATAAATAACACAAATAATTTTATATCATATTATAAATATACTGTATTGTTTTATGGTAAAATAAATATATTATTATAATCATAAAAATATAATATACTATAACAATAACAATCATAATATATATATAATTATGATTATTAAATAATATTAATAATATTAATAAATAATACCAATGTTATATCATATTTTAAATATATTGTATTGTTTTATTATAATATAAATAGAATCAGTTTTTGATCGAACTTCAAGAAAAGAAACTTTTAACCCTCTTGATAGAATAGCCCATAAATAAGTTTTAATAGCAGTTTTAATAATTTGCTAAATAGTTTATAATTATATAGTTTTATATTTCTGTGTGCACCATTCAGATATATTTGATAAAAAAAAAATGTTCCAGAGAGCTTTGACTAAAGACAATCACCCAGGATTTGTGTCCTTCTAAACGTTTAGCATCTATCAATATTTAAAAATCAATCAGTGTTTTGTTCTGTGTGGTGAACATTAGAACACTATGAAATATAATACAGTATGCAAGGTCACTACCTTCAAATGTTTTCCCCCGTCTTAGCTGTAAAAATGGGGAAATATGGTTTTATGGCACTATTTTTTACCTGTGCATAACGGCAAGAGAGTAAACAGCATGAGTTCCTTTGACAGATGAACGCTTTAATAGGCTACATATTCCACGCCGCATTATGACATTAGTATCCGCTATGCGCTCGTGCAGGCTTGCGTCACGAGGATGATACTGACAGGACTAAAATTACGTAATACAGCCCGATGCATTATGACATCATTTGCCGGCAGTTCTCTGCAGATATGACCCAATCAGCCCATTGATTTGGACATGAATGTGAACGCTGCCGATTTACAGTCACCTTACCTTGGCCACAGAGATCAAGTAATAGCAGGCATAAGCGGCGCTGAATCCCAGCACTACTGACAGTCCAACCCCAGAGCCAAAGAGCCCGACTTTTACTTGGTTTTTGAAGTCATGTGAAAGGTCACTCGTAAATACATTGAAATTAAGCTCCGGTGAGATCATTTCCTTATAAAGCCCACGGTTCCGGCTACTGAGACACTCGGGCTGCTGCCTGCTTCTGGATGAAAGGATGCGCGTCCAAATGCAAAGGTGAACGGAGACGGAGTTTAAAGCGGGGAAGATGGGTGGCGCTCTGCGAGGAAAGTCAGTGGAGTGCTACCCGGAGAAATGCAAGCCGCTAGAGCTGAAAACAGAAGGAGTCGAAGTGGGCGGAGCTTAGGACTCGGCGTCTCTTATTCTGTGTATGATTGGATTGCGTCAATGTGCCTTTAATGTGCCGAAAAACGACACTTACACGTGAAACGTTGGTTTGTTGGTATGTTTGTTTTTGCCAAGTATTATTAAAAAGCATAGGCTATAAAAACAGGAACGACAGAAGGGGGAATAAAAATATACAAGAAAACAAAACTAAGTAAAATACATAAATTATTCAAATAAATATTCTGAAAATCTTACTTAGTCTCTAATATGGTGTAATGCTGCAATGCTGCCTTTTTTCATTAAGGTGGGTTGATTTTGGGTTACATTAGCATTGCCAATATAAATTTAAATCAGCTTAGAGTAACTATAACTAAAACAGAGCCTGTATATATTTATATATACATATATATAATTTCTGCAACGCTTACTGCAAAGCATTGTCACGTGATGCGTGCTACTTTACTCAACGTATAGAAGCAAGTAGCCAATCAGAATCGTTTGGGGTTGGTTGCACGAATGGACTTTTTATATGCGTGTCAAACATTTCCCTTTGCGTGTCAGGAAGGAGGAATTGAAATGTTCCGAGTTTCAAATGCGGCTCAGCGATGAATATACTACTCCTACTATGCTGCGGTCTTGGTCATGAATATTAATGAGGGTGCGTGAGTGGACACTCAAAGAAGGTTACTAAGCAACGTCAGTCCAACCTAATTAATATTCAGTGTCGTAGCTTTTGTGTCGTCCAGTTTTTGACCTTAAACCAGGACTATTATTCATTCATTATCCACTCATTTGAGCTCGTTGGTCATCTTTATGTGGAGTACCAGTGAATTACTTTGTCATTTGCCTGAACGCATTTAAGTTTCTGCTTTGTCTTTATAAGCAGACTTGACATCTGGTTTACTCAGAGAACTGGAAAGCAGTGATATAAAATGCGATTGTCACTTTATTAATAACAGTATAAAATAACTACGGCAGATTAATGAGAGTTTGTCTGGTACGGATGTGTGATTTTTCATGGAAATAGACAGAAAAGCTGCAGGATAGCGCCCTCTAGTGAAGACAGGATGCAATCGACGCGGTCGCTTTTGTTTACTTTTTTTTCTGCTGAACTGAGATGACTCGTTTCATGTGCGACATTAAAGGTTTTTCATTATTATTATTATTATTATTATTATTATTATTATTTAGTTCCATTACATTCAAATAAAAAATGTACAAGGCAAATATAAGGCAATGTTGTGCAGTTTAAAGCATGTAAAACAGAATACTAACAACAACAAAAAAAAACATCAAATGAACATAAAAATAAAATAAAAAATACTAGGATAAAAAAGTGCTATATAATATTAGGGCAGTTAGCCTAGCTACATACATTTGAAAAGCTTTAGGATTGTGATCTTATATTAGAGAGGGTTTCAACATATATTTTAAGATCACTGTTACAAAGGGTAATATATAATGTTATTTATTATTATTATTTTTAACATATGAATATAAAACTTTGCTAAAATAATTAACAGATTAATAATGGAATTTAGTTTTTCAGAAAAATATGGGGTTTGAAAGCAAAGTAAAATATCATGAGGTTCTAAATTAAGGGCTTTGTTTCATTTTTTTGTTATGTCTATTTTAAAGTCAACCCAAATAAAACAACAAATAAAGGACAATAGAAAAATAAATGTTCAATATCTTCACCTGATATGTTACAAAAGGTGCATTTTTCACAAATACTATGAATATATCTGCTATACCTGCTCTGTGAATAAGTTTGTAGACATTAAAAGTTGCATGATTGAAGCATGAATGTTGCTTTTAATACATTTATTAAAATGTTAAATAAAAATAAAAAGTATAATGAAACATAAAAATAAAAAACGAATATAATATATATATATATATATATATATATATATATATACACACACACACAATGGAACAATGGAAATAAAAGTAAGGACAATGGAAATGGAAAAAAAAGTCACAATCCTGAATTTTTTATTTATTTACATTAAACGGCACGAAATGTCAAAGCACACACACACACACACACACACACACACACACACACACACTATGTAAAGATCATGTTGTGAAGAACCTTTTTACAGAAATAACACAAAGGCATCAGTTATCAGTTATCAGTTATCACTGGGGATGTGTGCACTTTGGATGGGATAAATGCAGAGCACTAATTCTGAGTATGGGTCACCATACTTGGCCACATGTCACTTTCAAATGTCACTTTCACAAGTCCCTAAAATGATTGGATTCAATATTTTATTATGTTTTACGTTTTTATTTCACATTCATAAATGGAAATTATCGAATAGAAAGAAAATATTTCATTAAAGCCTGTTATCATGTCAGCACAATTCGTCATTTGTAACAATTCCCTATATACAACCCCATAGATAACCTTTTTAATACCCATAATGTTATAATTAGTGTTAGAAAATTATTATTATTATTATTATTATTATTATTATTTACAAAACAATAATGAAATGCTCTGGGCTTTAATTAATTAAATATTATTTAAAAAAAAATCAGATTCTGTAATATTATAAAATATGAATGTTAAAATATTTAAATTGTACAACTAAATAATACATAATTTTTAATGCATTATTTTAAAAAAAGATTCATAGCTAATAAAACAAAAAAACGAAACAAAATAAATTAAAATTATATATATATATATATATCTTTATCGAAAAAAAACAGTTCCTTGATATAACCCTACAGTTCGCAAATAAAACATTTAGCATCTAAACAAGTAATTTTGTTTTTATTTAATCAAACAGAAAACAAATTGTCTTGGGCTGTGTCTCAAAGCCTAGTGAGCGCCCTACATGGACAGCAGTTTAGAGCATTAGGAGGCGCGTTCCGAGTCAGAAGAACTTGCGTATGATCTCGCAAAATTCTTCTAAAAGTCGGAAAACTCCAAGCCTCTCTAAGAAGTTGCAGATCCCGTCCAAATGCTCGCCAGTGATGTCTAGCTCGGAGTGTGAGTAGGTTTTGAGACGCGGCCATCGTGTGGCGCTCAGTCAGGAAGCTTCGCTGTTCTCTTCTTCCTCGAGTCTGGATGATTTTTAGGGAGGAGCTGTGACTCTCGGGAGGATCTAGAGACTTTGGCTGAGGACAGCAGCAGGTAGAGAGCTTTTGGACTTATTAAAAGCTTTCCAGCTGCATTCTGATGTACTCATTCATGCAGCGAGAGAGTTTATTGATGTGTGTTAGCATCAGTCTAACCGATCTCCGTCCACCCCTCGCTACTTCATCGTCTGTCTGTGTGACAGGCTGTGGTCTCGATGTTGTCGATCAGTCATGTAGTGTGGGTGTGATGGAGCAGTTCAGTGGGAACTTTATTGGCTGGATGAGTGTATTTGGAGCAGGTTTTGCTGGCTCTGGCTCACTGGCTAACAGGATTAAAGGCGCTGCTGATCTGAGCCTCATAAAGCTGACAAAACTAAATGATGCGCTCACTCTGACACGCTTTGACATCTCAAAAAATTAGAATATCATGAAAAAGGTCAATATTTTTTGTCACTCATTTCAGAAAGTGAAACCCATATATTATATAGATTCATTACACATAGAGTGAAATATTTCAAGCCTTTATTTCTTGAAATTGTGATGATTATGGCTTACAGATAATTAAAACCCAAAATTCAGTGTCTCACAAAATGAGAATATTACATAAGATAAATTTAAAAAAAGTATATTTTAAACAGAAATGTCAGGCTTCTGAAAAATGTTAATTTCTATGCACTCAATACACTTGGTTGGGCCTTCTTGCATGAATTACTGCATCAATGCGGCGTGGCATGGAGGCAATCAGCCTGTGGCACTGCTCAGATGTAATGGAAGCCCAGGTTTCTTTGACAGTGGCCTTCAGGTCATCTGCATTGTTGGGTCTGGTGTCTCTCATCTTCTTCTTGACAACACCCCATAGATTCTCTATGGGGTTCAGGTCAGGCGAGTTTGCTGGCCAATCAAGCACAGTAACACCACGGTCATTGAACCAGCTTTTGGTACCTTTGGCAGTGTGGGCAGGTGCCAAGTCCTGCTGGAAAATGAAATCAGCATCTCCATAAAGCTTGTCAGCAGAAAGAAGCACGAAGTGCTCTAAAATTTCCTGGTAGATGGCTGCGTTGACTGTGGACTTCAGAAAACACAGTGGACCAACACCAGCAGATGACATGGCAGCCCAAATCATCACTGACTGTGGAAACTTCACACTGGACTTCAAGCAACATGGTTTCTGTGCCTCTCCACTCTTCCTCCAGACTCTGGGACCTTGAAATTTTCTGAGACACTGAATTTTGGATTTTCATTATCTGTAAGCCATAATCATCAAAATTTCAAGAAATAAAGGCTTGAAATATTTCACTCTATGTGTAATGAATCTATATAATATATGGGTTTCACTTTCTGAAATGAGTGACAAAAAATATTGACCTTTTTCATGATATTCTAATTTTTTAGATGTACCTGTATATATTGGTTTATTAAAATGTTAAAAGCTACAATGAAGTGTACTTAGAGTTGTATTACAGCAAGTTGCACTGTCATTATTATTGTATCACTTAGCATTTATTATTATCAATTAAGCACTTGGTACAAAACAAGTACAAATGTGATTGTATGTAAAACCATGGTGTGTGTGTGTGTGTGTGTGACATATAACAGCTATACATAAGTAAATATTTCAAGATGGATATTTATTTATTTTTATATATTATTTTTAAATTTCATATTTAAAGATAAATATTTATTTGTATATATATATTGAATTTTAGGTTATTTGTAATTGAATTTGTTATACACACTCACACATAGATATTAAATGTAAATATTTATTTATTTATTAAATGTTATACTTAATATTTATTCATTATGTAACATATTATATATAAATATACATATTTTAAATATTATATTTAATATTTATCTCGTGTGTGTGTAACTGTGTGTGTATATATATATATATATATATATACAATACAGTATATAAAGATATATTAATTTATTTATTTACTTAATATTTCTTTATTATATGTCATATATTATCATATATAAATGTACATATTTTACATTTTATATATAAATATATTTATACTAAAGATAGATATGTATTTTTATATATTTATTTTTAATTTTGTTTGTTACTTATAATGTTATTTATTTATTGACTTATTTTACTTAATATTTCTGTATTATATATATATCATATATATATATATATGTGTCATTTATACATGGATATAAATGATAAAAATGCAATGCAGTAATTTTCAGCATACCGTGTAATTAGATTAAAATATTTTCTTAAATATTGGGCGCTCTTATTAATATTTATTATCAAAATTATTTCACCAAGCAATATTGTTTGTTAGTGTTACGCAAAAAACTGTAGTCAGTTTACACTACACTCTACAGTATAATTAGCTTTTTCATTTTTTTAATAATTACAGATTCGTTTTGCTCAGCTTTTCTTTTTGCTCAGCTTTTATTTTTACATCAGCGGCCAAAACAGTTCATCCCATCAGAATTTATATTCAGAACTAAATACTTTTATAGTAAACCCCACTTGTGCAAAAATTCCAGTCAATTCGCTCAGTCTTGCGTCAAAAGTCACATGATGAAAGCTGAGTGTGTGTTCTTGTTCTTTACAGCTGTTGCAGTTGTTTGCAAATACATCACAAAAGGCTGGAAAGGGGTTCAGGAAGCGTATGGTGATAAAGAGAACTCCGAGGGTGTGCAGGAAGTTTTGGCGTATCTGGAAGCTGTGGAGAAAGCCAAACTCTGCACTGATGAACAGGAGCTCATTCTTCTCATCGAGGAGCAGAGGCTGGAGAAAGAGCAGCTCCTGACCAACCACCTCAAGTCCAAAGAGGTCTGAACCACATTTAACAATAAATAATAAACAATTCTATATTTATTTTAACTGAGATTTAATCATGTATTTTTAATAGCAGTTTAACTGCTATTAAATATTGCTGTGGTATTGAAATTTCAGTGGAATTGGTTTCAACTGCTGAAATGTTGGTGTTTTGCAAAGAGAAATGATGACAGTTCAGTTATTGCTAATTTTTGTAGGTATGGAAAGCGCTGCTGAAAGAGATGCCCATGGCTGTTTTATTGAAGCATTTGGGGAAGCTGACAGCAAACAAGCTTCTGGCAGCAGGAAGTGCGGATGTTGCAGCTGTTTGTGAGAGGATTCAGGATGAGACAGCTCTGAAAAAGGTCCGCATTTTAAGACAATGGTAGCATCCAGCAATGCTCCTTGATTCAGTTATTCTGAACACTTCTTATTTAGTCTATTTCTATTTCATGTTATTATTAGTTTTATAAGTAGCATTTGGATACTTAAAATACATGAATGCCATTGCATTAGATAAAAAATGGCGTCTTCAAACAATAGCTTTTATCAGAACTTTTAATCAGCTTCTCAATCAATTTTTAGTGGAAGTATGAAGTCAGTTCTCCTCAGGTTCACACATGTGCCCGAATTGAAATAAAATATTAAATAAAATGTCTAATTTAGTGGCATTCATACATTACATAAGTAACATGTAAAATGTTAAAATACTTGAATATAAAAATATATATTGTTTTATAGTTACAAACCTAAAAAGGTTTTTTTTTTTAAATGGTTTGCTGGGAAAGTGTTATATTTCTTTAAGATAAATTATGCTTGATTTGTTATTTTGTAGTAGTAGTAATAATATTAAACAAAATGTTTTCTATTTTAATGGCAATTAAATGGCAATCTATTTTAAATTAAAAATGTCCAAATACTTAAATAAAAATATGTATTGTTTTATAATTGCAAACCTTTTTTATATACTATATATATATATA